CCTTTAATATGTTAATCAGAAATCTTACATTTTGTCACTCAGATATCCTCATCATGCTTTGTTGCAGCTACCGCTAACTCACCACTAACATACCCTTGCTAGCTAGCTTCTTTTTTTTTTTTGCGTCTATCATGGATAAGTGCAGATTTATTGGGAGTTGGCTATACGAAGGTAGATGTAGGTCTTAAATTCCATTCATAATGGTTTTAAAAAGTCTTAAATGTGAATTGGTGGAACCTACAGAAACCCTGTAAAATGATTCCTGGGAATTTGAGGAAGAAAAAATGTCTGGAATTTTGCCTTGAAATTCTGTAGGACCCCTGTATCGCCTTCAGCAACCAGCTTCTCCCACGTAATCACATCTTCTCGAGTCAGAAGATGTTAAATTCGATCCCTCCCACTTGCAGCTGCCTTTTTATTTTTGTAGCTATTACTTTTGTTCTCCCCGACTACAAACACAGTTGTTGCGCTCCGCGCGCGAGAGTTTTAGAAACAAGTTAAAGAAACTGTAGTATAATATTTCAATCACCCGAAACGTCCCAAACAGTTGACCTCTGAAGATCTCTATTTAGACAATATCTGAAGATATTATTCTGCGTGCGTAGGAGGTGAAATAAAGATATGAACCCGCTGACTTTTCTTTCCCACGTTCACGCAATCGTCCCACAGAGTGAGATAAGTGTAACTGCTTTCAGTGTAAAGTCGCTGAAACACACGAGACATGTACACTAAAGCAGATTCTCTGGCAGGATAATTAGTGGACAAGCTGCTGATGCTCCCACTGTGTGGTCGTGATGGCAACGCTGACAACCCACCTCTGCAGGAGGAGTAGGAGGGGAAGGCTGAAAATAAGGAAAGGAGACAAGGGGGCGGATGAGTAAGAAGAGCAGGGGATGAAAAGGAGCGCGAGGGAGGAAGATTAGGAGGAGCAAGGGTGGGAGATTCAGTGATGTGGAGAAGATCAGGGAGAAGTCAGTGTGATGTGTGGTTGTGGCGAGAAGACATGCAGCAGGGAAAATGGAGGACGGCAGTGATTATTTCTTTAAAATGGAGAGGAAGAAGAGCAAACATATTTAAATTGTGAAGCTGGGAACTACGGGAGCAGCTGTATCAACCCCACCATGCTGGGCCCAGTTTAATCTCTTTACTTTAGGGTTTAAATTCCTGCTGCTTCATCTGTCTTATTCAAACAGCCCACATCATGCTCATTAGTGGCCCAGCGCCGCCGAGCAGCGGCTCAAAATATTACCAAGTGTTTCTGGTCTACTTTTTAGTGCAGATATCTTACTACACTTAAAACAAGACAAAACTGACTTAGAAGTAACTTTTCAGCAAAATATATGAGCTTGTTTTAGGTCAGGAGTGTTAAACTCATTTTCTTTTTGGGCCAAATCAAGATCCTGAATGCTCTTAAAGGGCCGGTTGTGCCAGAATATATTGATAAAACTTATTCACAAACTGTTAAAATATCAATCAATTCTTCTATCAATCAATATTATTGAACATCTTTTCAGTCCTTCCAGGATTTCATGATTCTTTTTGTGATTTTTAAAAAAATAAAAATCAAAGTGTTTCTTGTACTAATTTGGAAATATTTGAGATATTTATGACGGTAAATGCAACTTTTATTACTCTGTATAGATCATGGACTGTAATCTGACGTCAATTAAGGCTGAGGCAGCTGTTTAGTACAAGTAAAGATTTTGACAATTTTTGAGAAAAATCTGCAATAAACTCTCAATTATGTGTTGGTGCAAAAAAGTGCGGGGATTTATTGATTTTGTGTGAATTTCCACAATAATTTTTAAGAAACTGGAGGGACTGATTGATATAATTTGGCAGTGAACAGATAAAAACTGCATCGATTTGACTGATAACACAATTTTTAAGTACAGTTAGTGTTTAGTCTAGAATCTAGAGGCCACATAAAAAGCTATGGTGGGCCGGATTTGGCCCACAGGCCTTGGGTTTGACACGTTTTAAGTCAATAATTCCTTAATATGGGTGAAAAATTGTCGTTCCACTGGCAGATTATTTCTCTTATAATATGACAAAAGTGTTTTGCAAAAGATGAAAATAATCTGCAAATGGAACAAGTGCCTTTTCTGAAGTTTTAAAAGAATTATTAATTTAAAACAAGCTCCTATCTCTCGCTGAAAAGCTACTTATAAGTTAGTTTGAAACTAAACTAAATGACTTCGTCTACGGTAAATCTCGTACTGCCTCCTGTGGGAACATCTCCAGGATCCAAGCCTCGTATTCGGGCCTGCATGTTGTTCCTATTCCAGTTCTGATCCACAGACAGGCTCAAACAAGAGAGGAATGCATTAAGATGAAGGCGTTCACCTCATCTCACACCGATTACTCCGATGTTTGTGATTCAAGTTTGGACAAAATGCCACGTCTTTGTTCGTAGTGACAGGATTGTGCTTGGAGCAAACCGTTTCCATGTTTTCTGTGGGTAAAATGTAACTTTGCAGCTCAGTTTTTTTGTTTTTTTTTTGTTGTTTTTTTAGGAAAATCTGCTTTTCTCAGTTCTGATTGATCATCTCTGATTCTGAAAACCATAAATTTGCAACTTTGTCTGTACTTTTCAAGTTTTCCTTTTCACTTTTTAACTACATGTTGATGAAATGTGTTTCATCAGTTTAGAGCCGGCCTCGCCTCTTGGATCTGCAGGAGTAAATAAATCCTTTATGTTTTAAGCTTTCAGATGTTTTTAAGGATTTATGTGGACAATAAATCATTCTTCATGTTGTTCTCCACATTTTAAAAGCAGAAAAAGTAGTGAAGCCTTATTCAGGAGGAAGTTAGAGTTCCTTGGAAAATTATGGATCCAGAAGTATGGAAGCATATTTTTTATTTAATATCCAAATACTCATCCATCCATTTGTAATTAACTTTAGTATTTTTAAAATTTGTTAATGGAAAAAAAAAGCTGGGATAGTCAAGTTTTCTTTATTTAACAGAATAAGTGTTTTATCTATTTTCAAAAAAGCACTAAACATTACTTTTTGTCAAATTTCATCAAGAAAACTTATTTTATTTATTTTTATTTTATTTTTCTTGTGAAAGGGGATTGGGTTTGCCTTAAGTATTGTAAAAAAAATTAAAAAATATATAAAATTGACATAATATATTGATTAATGTTCCAGTTACTGCTATTCAAAGGCGGGTGGGGTTTTATCCTTATTTAGAGGAACTCGGCTGTTTTGCAGATTTCTATAAGTTTGTCCTAGATTAGAGGAAGTTATTTTCATAAATACTTAATCAACCAACCTGTTAATATTGTGCAGTTCCAGAAGAAGCCTGCTCTTAAACACGCTGCCTGATTTTTAATCATTTATGATTTTTATTTTTTAGATTCCCTGGACTGAATTTGTGTTATTAGGGTTGGGGTGTGTCTCTGTGAGTGTAGCCCACAGGTTTCTGTGGCGTGTGTCCAGTCACCATACGTCCTTGCATTTGTTCTTTTGTTGCCCACGCAAAGCTATTTTTAGCTCCAGGGTCGTGAGTATGTGTGTGTGTGTGTGTGTGCTTAGGTGTGATCAGGTTGCACGGTGTGTAAGTAGACTCCTCTTTGTCCTGTGTGATCATTTTGGAGAGACGGCCACTAAAACTTTCAGCAGTCGGGTCAGATGTGTCGGACAACCTTTTCCACTCGTTTGTTTTCCAGCTGGAGTCCAGAGAGTCGTCTTTAGTTTCAGGAAACCTTCGGATCTGTGAAGGTTTGCGCTGCCAGAAATGAATGTGGAAACACTTCAACTTTGTTGCACATGCAAATAATTCGGTTCATATTCAATTAATTTCTATATAAATTACATTTAGTTCAGTTAAGCTCAAATAACAGTTAAAAATAAGTTATTAATTCCTTTGTGAAATAAGAAGTAGTTATAGTAGATATAAAATGTGTACGCAATGTTTTTAGACCTTAGTAAGTGATTTAAAAATGTCTCCTTAAATCTGACGTATGTATTATATCTTACATATTATCGTAAATCTATACATTTTGAATTTTAGCTTAACAAATGCAAATTCTAGTAATGCATATTAGCCATTACTAATATGTACATATTAAACTAATATGTAAGCCATTATTAAACTTGAAAACTGTCTTGACCATAAAATCCTTTAAGTAGTTGTTGGAATTTATTGCATCGTTTATGATTTATCTTGATAAATTTATTTTTATAAGAATTTTGATTTGTTGTTGTTACAATAAATTCCAACTAATGATGTTTAAAAAACACAAAACTGCCCTTATTGTTGGGATAGTTGATAGTTTTACTATTTTCTACACTGGTTGTGCAATGAAAGTATCAATAAATACCAATTAATTTGAAAATACAGTTACCATGCGCAGTTTAGTGATACAAATCCCACTTCTTTATGTGTCCTGAGGCAGTGTATTACAAATGGGAATGTTTTTCAAGAGCAGTATTTGTATCAGTGGGGCTATAATTTATGTTGCACACAATCACAGCCATACTGTTGTCACTTCTGTTATCTAGGCCTGTCGCAATAATCAATAAATCAATTAATTGCATAATAAATTAAAGCAAGCGCAATAATTTCCATTTATATGACTTATCGATTTTCTCTTTTCTGTATTTGGTCTCAGCTGGCCCTTAATAATGTTTATAGAAACTTCAAAATGCATTATTTCAATTGTTTTGTTTATTTATTTTGTGGGTTTTTTATGTTCATTTGAGTTTTAAGTTTATTGATCTTTGATAATCTCTTATGCCTTTATCATAATATAAATTGAAATTAGTCTCAAAGCAACAATATTATTATTTATCGCAATAACTTGGGACAATTTATCGTCCATTTATTGTGACATATCGTTATCATATTGTTGCATAAAGTAAAAAAAATAAATAAAAATGGGCAAAATTTGTTGCTAAGTGTCTTTTCCAGTTGTTAGTTTATAGAAAAATATATTTTTCCAATATTGGGACAGAAATAGCAGCATCATGCATAAGTAGAGTTTATCATAGATGTTATCACTGCTGGAGAGACGGACGTGTAAAGATGAACTAAACCTGAGCGGGTAAAAAGAGGAAGAGGCGCGTGCTGAGTCATCCGTCTTCGACTCTCTTTCTCGTCGCCATGAAGTGCTGCTGGCAGTGGCTCCACCAAGCTGTTCCCAGTCCGCCTCAAACAAATATCTGCAGCTGAGCCGGAAAATTATGAATAAATAATTTACGGACTTAATCACGCTGAAACCGAGTTCTCACAGTTATTCATCCACTCTGTGTCATTATGCGAGCGTGACTGTTCACTTCTGCATTGTCACCACTGCAGCTTTTCTCTTTATTATTATTATTATAAAAATGATGATATTTTAAAGTGTTTTCTTGTGTTTTTTTTTTTTTTTTCCTTCTTGAATGCAGGAAAGCCATCTCCAGATCAGGCCTCCATTACCTCGGCCCGCCTCAGCCTTCGCTCCCTCCGGCGTCCAACGGACCAAACAAGGATCTGCGAACCTGCGTGGACTGGACGGTCAGACGCTCAGCATCACAAATCTGCTTAGTGACATGCATTTATTCTGTTAATTGTGCAAAAAGCTTGTCTAGGTTTAAGTTTCTCCTCTGAGTCACTGCCTGACATTTACAATCTCATTTTATCAGCATTATGTTTCTGTGGAGACAAAAAAAAAAACCCCAGCGGTTTCTCTCCTCTTCTTTATTAATAATGTAGGACGATGTGTAAGCAGCGTGGGAGAGAAAGTTTTACCTGTCACCGTTTCTCAACATATGACTTTTCCAGCATCTGTTTCTTTTTCCAGAGTTTAATGGATTTTATTTACAAAACATGAATCACGACGCTGCAAAGCTGCTTTAAAACGAAAAAATGTCAAGAGGCAACGGAAAGTACTCGAAACAACACATTAAACCTTCCAAAAGTCAACAAAAAGTTTGAGCTGGTATTTTTAGTTCCAGGTAAATCCCCTTACCTTTCACTTCCTGCAAAGACGACGCTCTAAAACCTGAAGCGTGTGGATCTGCAGGAGGAGGTGTGATGGCAGTAATCACAAGGTTTTGTCATATTACAATTTAAAGCTGTTAAATCTGGTCTGAAATCATATTTTCTATAATTGATATCAATGAAACAACATGCCACTAAGCATTCTGGGAAATAGTTCCCACTCCTGCCTTTCTCTTCTTTCACTTCTTTTAAAGCTCTAGACTCTTGGAGGTCTGACAAAATTAATAGATAAACTTTTTACTGTAAGTTTATCTTTCACGAACTCACACATTTGTGTTCAAAATCTAAAACTGGCTAAATTTATTTGACTTAGAGAGTAGAAGATAGTAGACACAACTAAATGAGGCTCAAATGTTTTACAGTGTTTTACTTCCTCCTTAGTGAAACAAAGTGACTGATTGTTGATTAAAAGTTTCAGAAATTTGGACAAAATAAAGCATGAATATCTAAAATGCTCCAGTGATGCTGGAGGATGAAAACGCCACAAACTCCATGACGGATTCCTAGAGTTTTACTCGTATTTGTCCCTTCCTGACTGAACTATTAAAAATAAAGGAATTTCTCTCTTTGGTGACTTCAGGAAACAAATTTCCCCCAAGTAATATAAGAATTGAAGGTGGAATTCCATTTTAAAATATGTTCTGCAGTGAGTAATTCAGCTCTCAAGGCGTTGCATATCATTAATGAACTGTAAATACAAAGTGCTTTATTATTGATGAGAATGTGTAAACTGTTATGGGCTCACATGGAGCGTCCTGCAGAGACGCTTCAGCACATCCTCACTGACCTTTAAATCCCTGCATGATGCACACACACTCACACACACACACACACACACACACACACACACACACAGTTACATAACAATACATACATATAATTACCTTTTAATATAATCACTGAAACTGATTGAGCAGCTTTATGGGACACGACTTACAGCGGTGAAGAATTGGTCAAATTTTATTTTCTTGGAAGCAGCTGTAGTCAGAGATATTTTACATCTATTCCATAAAAGAGTTGATTTTTTTTTAATTATTTATTTTTTGTCCTCAATTTTTTTTTCTTCCAATGGTTAATCAATTTATTGGGTTAAACAAATTGGCATATTTAGGTAATTTTTCATTCTAACCTCTTTTTTTATATAATATTAGAAATTCATTCAAATATGCAGACAACTAATTTAATTCATTTTTCAAAGAACATAAACGATAGATTAGAATAATTATAATTAATTGATTTATTAATCGGTTAATCATTAACTGTCGTAAAAAAGACCATTTGTCAAAACTGTAAAAAAAAAATAAAAAAATAATACATTTTGCTGTTAGGATTTAAAAAAAAACAAAAAAAAAAAACTTTGTAAATATGTTTTACCCAAAATTCCTCAAATGGCAGTTTTAGCTTCACCTGGTTAAAATTATGTTTAAAAAAATAAAATAAATAAATGTCTCCCATTTAGCAACGTTGCTCTCCAATTATTAATCAGCAAATCCAAAAAATGTTCAACAGATCAGCCCGACACAGATGCTTTCACTAAATGAATGCTGCTATTGCATTTTAGACAATAAAATGTTTATTTTCTTCTTTAATAAAAGAAACTGAGTCGTTTATTTGCATCTTTTAATTAGTTTTTTTCTATAATTGTGTAAAAACGTCTTAAAAAATAAGCAGAATGTGTATATGTTTTTAATCGATTAATCGATTAGTTGCAACCCTCTCTTCAACCAACAAGGACTTTTCAGTTCAAATTCAATTAAAAATACTTTAAAGGGACAATAAATGTTTTTGTTACTCGTATCATCTGTGGGCAGGAAGGCTCTCCAGTAGCAGTCAGAATAGCAGAAGCTTCTGACTGAAGACTTGTTGTTTGACAGAGTCATGACTGTCAGGACATGCTAACAGCTCAGTATGCAGACAACAGAGACAATATTTCACAGTAAAATGTCCAGTTGTTGCCATGCTCTGCTAATCCACCTCATTTGCTTTTGCTGCTCCTTGGACGTCTACTTTTTAACTCCTCTGGGATTTTTTCTGTTAAATTCCCGCCATCATATGTTCATACAGAGCTGCTCTCTGAGTGCTGGACGTTAGCCGCTACTTCCTGAGTGTTTTCATTAACACCTCAGATTTCCAGACGCCGTGGATTACCCACCTACTCAGCAGCAGCAGCAGCGTTTATGCACTCGACACACTTACTGGCCGTAATCTCCTCCGAGTGTTTCTGAGCAGTTTTATATACGACCGAACAACAATCACTTAAAGATGGAGACGTGCAGACGGAGCGCGGCGCCTTATTAAGTGATAATTCAGCCCTCTCTCTTCTCCTCCTGCAGGAAAACGCAGGGAACGGAGATCACTTATGGACGGAGACGAGTTGTTCGGGAGAGCTGTGCTACCTCGGGGAGGACGCGTGTCTCCTGAAGACTGCGGTGAGTAGAGACTGATCACGTCTCTGCAGGAGGGAAACGGGAACAAAGAAGCAGGTGCTTCTCCTAGGATCATATTTCTGCTGCTGTCTGGTCCGTTAGCCGCCTCTTTTTCTTAAAAAAAAACAAAAACAAAAAAAAACATTCCACGCTCACTGAATTATAAATAATTTCAACTTTGAAACCGTCTGAACTGAATACTAATGCTGGGAATTCATGAATATTAAATCTGCTCTGAGCTTAAACAACTGTTTTATCCTTATTGCAGTTTTACTTTTTGCAGCAGAACAGAACGTCTGAGATTTGATTTAAATATTTTTATGATCCGAACAAAGACGGAGAAAGAAATGTATTTTGTTTGAATTAAAGTTAACACTTTATCTGAAGGGCTGTGCATAAGCGTCACTATTTACCTTCATTACAACAGTCTTAAACATTTTGAAGACTCCTTCGTGTTTGTGGCAGGTGTTACGTCAGCCTTATGCACAGCTCTTAAAATAAAGTACTACAAATACTTCTGACTGTTTAATGGTTTAATTTTCACTCACATCAGTGACAGTGGTGAAACATTCCTGCTGAGAGGTTCAACAACACGTTTAAATTGTAGGCCTTGTGAACTCTGTCCTCCAGCAGAGAATAGCAGCTATTAGCATAAAGAGCAGAGAAACAACCTTCACTTTTCACAATAAAATAATGACACATGTGAGCGTTCACAACAGCTCGGTAATTACAGTATGTTTAGAAGGAAACGCTGCGGCTCGCTGTGAGATTTCTCTGACGTCCAGGTGGATTTGTCTTTGTGGGTTAAATTAGTTAAATCAGATGAAAACTGAAACTATCCTTCTTTTAAATGTGCAGCAATTTTAACAGGTTATGGTGGGAAAATGTCCTCAGGTATGTTTGTAGTTGTTTAGAAAAGCAGCTAAAGCAGTGGTGTCCAAACTTTTGGCATCATTGACCACAAAGTTTTCTAAATTAAAACTCAGACGTGTTTTGTTCCTGTGTAACAATAAACCATAAAATAAACTGTTCTGTTTATTATGCAATTAAAAAGAGAGAAACAAGTATGATTATTAAAAGTTTAATATTTAGCAGACAAAGTCTTAAGTATTTTTAGTCTAGTTTCTTGAAATAAGACAAAATGTTTCCAACATTATTTTAAATCTATAATTCCTGATCAAACTGTACTAATAAGTGAAATAATCTGCCAGTAAAGCAAGATATTTTTCCCTTATTATGAGTTAAAAGTGTCTAATTCCTCCGGTGGTTTATTTCACCAATAACTTAGTGTGTTTTTTATTAATAGTAAGAAATTAATGACTTTTATTTTTTGCTGAAAAGTTTCTTGAAAGTTAGTTTTGTCTAATTTCAAGTGCAGTGAGATATTTACATTGGAAACTAGAGTAAAAATGCTTTTAATGTAGCCGTGCAGTACCAGTTCATGAAGGCGACTTGCCCTCTTACATCTGAAGTGTTTGTGTTTTACCAGGTGATAAATGACTCGTTTTTTCCTCGCTGCTCGTATTTTCAGCAGCTTTGTGTCTCACTCTGCTCTGTGCTCCCTGTGTTTCCTTTAAGAAGTCGGCCCCCAGGAGGAAATGCGCCGCCTGCAAGATAGTAGTCCACACCGGCTGCATAGAGCAGCTAGAAAAGGTGCGGCTCTCAAACACCAACACGCTTCAGCTGCTCATCCTTCAAGGCCGACGTTTATTTCCTTTGAATTAAATTCAATCCAATCTTGTTCCCTTCAAATTCTGTCGAGCTGCAGATGAATGCTTTCAGACTCACGACTGTGGTCTGTGTCTCTGTTAAGATTAACTTCAGATGCAAGCCGACCTTCAAGGAGGGAGGGTCCCGATGCCTCAGAGACGTGAGTGTTTCTTCATGTCAACATGTGTGTGTGTGTGGCTGTAAAAATGAGGAATCGCAGCTCTGAGCGCCGATATCTGCCAACAGAACGTACTGAGACACCACTGGGTCCACAGGCGGCGGCAGGAGGGGAAATGTAAACAGTGTGGGAAGGTGGGCTCACTAACGCACAGAACTGTTCCTGCGGTCCTTATAAAGAACCAAAAACTCACTGTGAATGTTTGTTTTTTCAGAGTTTTCAGCAGAAGTTCTTCCACAGTAAAGAAATAATCGCCATCAGTTGTTCTTGGTGTAAACAGGCGGTAAGGAAACTCATCATTCATCTTCAACAAAACTAAATAAAAATGAAGTAGATGAGAAACAATAGGTCTCACTGTTGTGAAATTTACGGTTCCTAAAGAACATTCCTACTTCAAAGCCCAGCAAGTTACCTAGCAACCCTAGCAAAGCTCAGCCCGTAACCTAGCAACCCTAGCAAAGCCCAGCCCGTTACCTAGCAACCCACACTGAGCTCCAGAACGATTGGCCAGCTGGTTTTACTGTACAAAAGACAAGTGCTTTGTTGTCGACTTACCATCCAGAAACCACTTGCTACATTCTCGTTTGTTGTGCAGGAGGCTCCATGTCTGCTTTTCAAAGATGCATGTTTGTATAATTGGGCATCTGTTTGCAGCTGCTTTCACATACAGGTGTAAACGTTGAGTGAAAAAAACCCCAAAAGTAGCAGTTTTTTTGGATTTAAAGTGATAAAACCCCCTAATACAACAAATCTAAGAATAATTTTGTGCAAAAAATATAATCTGTTCAAGGAAGCAGGTCACCTTTTGGCAATAAGTTGATGTTTTTTGGTGCCTGGACAAGTCGTTTGAAAAACCTCCTGATTATTAAGTCACTATGGACAGGCACTGTGCTGTTGCCTAGCAACCCCTAATAATTTAATAAGTCGTTCTTTGCTAATGTCAATTTGTTCCAGACTTGAGGCAGGTGATGCATGCAAGTGTTAAGATTCAATTACGATGATCTACTCGACTAATACTGAAATGAAATGTGTTTTTTTTTTCTTGGAGATGAATAAAAGCTAACGTCCGTTTGTCTTCCAGTTCCACAACAAGGTGACGTGCTTCATGCTGCACCAGATCGAGGAGCCGTGTTCGCTGGGGGCCCACGCCGGAGTCATCGTCCCTCCCTCCTGGATCATCAAAGTCAGGAAACCACAGGTGAGAAAGAGGCCCTCCTTCCCTGCAGTTGATCAAGTTCACCCGCTGTCATCCGGTGACGATGATGCAAAGCGACCTCGTTGGGGCTAAATTTGAAAAGCGGCCTGTCGGAGGCTGCTGGGTGTGATGCGATGTGATCCGACGTACGTCTGATCTCTGAGGGAAGCCTGAGTTTAGGCCCCTGTTTGAGTCTCCCTCACACACGCACCAGCGCAGAAAAATGTCTCCCGCAGACACGTCGCATGCTTCATCGCTCTTCTAATCAGCGTCAGCGTGGATGCGGTGACAGCGAACTAACATCTGAACTCTCCGTGTCCCAGAGCTCGCTGAAGAACTCGGCCAGGAGGAAAAAACGGACGTCTTTCAAACGTAGGGCGAGCAAGAAAGGACTGGAAGTGAGTGAGAAAATGCTCCTATTGATCCAGTGGCTTTTAGCAAACAAGCAAAGAAAATGTGTTTATGGTTTTAAAGTGCGTGTGTTGACACAGAAACAAGTGTTTGAAATCTTATTTCAGTTTGGAAAAAGATTTAATGTCTTTTTAAATCAGTTTCTTTATTCTCACACATATCTTCTCCATTTAGTTTTAGATTTAATGTTAAAATATAATTTCATCAGGTTTAAACATGTTCGTTTTACGTTTTTAAATTATTTAAAGTTAACTTTTTCTCCTCTTTCATTGCATATTTTAGGGCTGAAATGATTAATCGTGTTATTCGTGATTAATCAGATTAATTGTGATTAATCAGATTAATTGTGATTAATTGATTATTAAAATAATAAACTAATTTTGGAATTGATTAATCGTTACCTGGAGTGTACAGAATAAAAAACATTTTTTTACTGGAAGAATAACACACTCAGTAACGGTAAGTAATCAAAAACTGAACAAAATTTTATTTATGTTTCACATTTAAGATAAAAACAAACTTATCTGTCTGTAGATACATTTTAACTCGAACTCTTTAGGTCAGTTTTAGCTTCACTCGGTTCAAATTATGTAAATAAAATCTTTTTTTATGCACGTTTTGCTACCCAGTTATTAATTAGCTAATTGAAAAATGTCTTACTTTTTCAAGTGTTCATGTTAGACAATTTTTTTTATCTGCAGATGAATTTTTGCTACAAATGATCAAATGTTCACTACAGCAAGGTTGTGTTATTGCATTATAGACAATAAAATTTTTATTTTCTTAATTTATAAAGGAATATAATTGTTTATTTGCACCTTTCAATGTATTTCTAATATTACTTGAAAAAAAATCTGCAGAAAGTACCATACTTTTAAAATACGACTACATTAATCAACAACTAAAATAATCGTTAGTTGCAGCACTCGTGTATTTATGTAAATGTTTAAAAGTTATAGTCTTACAAATGTAGTTATTGATTAGGGTGAAAAAGAAACCATAGAAACTTTTAAAGTTTTTTTTTCTTAATCCAGATGTAATGAATTCTCTCTGCCTGGACTTCTTTTATTTTTAAACTTTTCTCTCCGTCTGCAGGACTCTAAATGGCGTCCGTTCATTTTGAAACCGCTTCCTTCTCCCCTCATGAAACCCGTCTTGGTTTTTGTCAATCCCAAGAGCGGAGGCAACCAGGTGGGTGAATCTTTTTACCCCTTTCATCCTCTCACGCTGCTGTTAGCCCTCATCGTTTCATACGTCTGCACCTGCAGGGTGCCAAGCTGCTGCACATGTTCATGTGGATCTTAAACCCCAGACAAGTGTTCGACTTGTCACAAGGTGGACTAAGAGAAGCGTGAGTAATCGTTTCTAATCTCTAGAAAAAAGATCTGAATCTCCTACACTGAAACAGTGGCTTTAATTCAGATTTTTTTATTAGATGCCTGGAAGTCTGTGGTATGTTTTAAACACCAGCTGGACAGGATTTTAGGTTTTTCAGTCTAGGCCTGTCGCGATAAACAATAAATCAATTAATTGCACAATAAATTAAACCTATCGACCTCATTTTAATTATCGGTTTTATTATCTCTTCCTCTTTTTTTCTTTCTGTTGATGACACTGAATGAAAAAAGGCTCAACTCTGGTGCTCTTCCTTAGTGTAATGTCCAGCGCACACTACACGAGATGTTGGCGGACTGTCGGCCCATTTTCAAAACCTGACAGAAATCCTAGGTATAACGGTTTGATCGGGTTCGTCATGCCGTGTGGTGTCCAGCCACAAAATAAGGGCTACAAGTCCAGTTAATTCATTTTAAAACCAGGTTAATCAATGCTTTACTAGAATCTACCTGTGATGCATGTGGCTAGAGTCAGCGTAAAGTCCTGACTGAATGAAAATCATCATAACCTATTTATGTCACGTTAACGAAGAACAGCTGAAAACCTACCGGGTTTATCAACTGCGGTAGCAATTTGGCTCCAGTTCCTCCCCTTGTCGTTTCTATATTCTTTGTACGAAATGTTGAATAAATATTAATGTTGTTTCCACATATCATCTCCAATGTCCACTGGATTTTGAGTTGCGCTGTGTCAGCTGTTTGGGATTCCCCTTCGTTATTTCACCTCAGAAAGCAGGAGGAGAATCTGCGCTTTCTGATTGGCTACCTGTGACATTCAACTGGCTGCATTGATGCTTCCAGTCGGGGGAAATCCCTGATTTAGATCGAGCAGAACGACGATCCACCATAACCCACCACACACTGCAGGATGATCGGTTACGAAATCACGAGCGGCCAACGATCTAAGATTGTCATAAGGGGAAAATAGGGGCAAAAAAATCGTGTAGTGTGAACTACTGCATCACGTCGGATGTGTCCATCTGCTCTATTTAAATCTAGCGATTACTGAAGGCCAATATAGTTTAGACTTCATAATCTGCACTCTTTTGGTTGAATGCAGTATTTATTTCCACTTTGGCTTTTTGTTTAGTTTTTATTCAAGTACGTTTTTTGTTAATGGAGACTGAGAATCCATTTTATTTTTGTTTTGGTTGTTTTGTTAATTTAGTTTATCAGTTCCAGTGTTATGTGTTCTTTTGAAAATAAAGTGTATCTATCTATAGCAGGAAATCACATGCATTATTAGTCATTTCCTTTAAATCAGTGTCAAAAGGTCTTGAAACAACATTATCGTTTATCGCAATAATTTTTTAGACAATTAATTAATTGCTCGGCAAAATTTGTTACCGTGACAGGCCTACCTGAGTCTGGAGAGGAATTCATTTATTTCTGCAGCCGTCTCTCATCCAGCTGCTGTTTCAATTCTCAGGTTGGAATTGTATCGCAAAGTGCCAAACCTGCGGATCCTGGCCTGCGGTGGAGACGGCACAGTAAGACTCTGTTCATTTTTTTAACCAGTTCTTATTGTTTACCAAGATCCTGGAGCATTTCTACCTCTGCGTAGACAGAGGTTGGTAAAGTATCCAGAAATAATATCGTTTTTATCATATTTTTACCCAAGTAAAAGTAAAAACGTTAACATTAATTGCTGGTCTATTTGCATCTTTTAATGCATTTCTATTCTTGTATAAAAATGAAGTGTTTTAATAAAAAATCTGAAGAATTTATCTACATCTTTTATCCAATTAGTCAATTAATTGCCTGAATAATTGATAGAATAATAGATCACAATATTTACTTAACAGCAAAAACACAAAATTACAAAGTTATAAATAAAATACCATACAACCAACAATTGAACAAACATTACATTTTGATGAGTGACATCAACAAAATTATACACATTAAATAAAATAAAATAATAAAGTAATACTTACAGTCAATAATAGATACTGTATGTTAGAACAAAGTAAAGTTATTCCAAGCGTTTGTATCTCATTCATTTTTTGTTTTGTCTTAATTTAGTGAAATTACTCACAGTGAGTAGAGTGTCCACTGTAAAAAGTACTAGACTTTTAGTGTATTTTTTGCATTAAAATACACTAAAAGTAATTTTTTATAGAAAAAGTTCCTTGAGTGACTGTAACTAAGTGTAGGTATTTACTGCCCACCTCTGTCCGTAGGTGGGGTGGATCCTCTCCGCTCTCGATGAGCTGCAGATGAATCCCCAGCCTCCGGTCGCTGTACTTCCTCTGGGAACAGGAAATGACCTCGCCAGGACGCTCAACTGGGGCGGGGTGAGTTTCCAGACTTGTGTTGCAGAGTAGACTGCAGACGGGATTTTATTTTATCCTCCAGTTACGTCAGAGATTTTTTTATTTTTTTTAACACGGCAGGTGAAGTTTGTCAAGCAGCAGTGAAGTCGTTTCTGTTTTTATCTCGCGTTCTGAAAATAAATCAGGTGTTTGCGTCTCCAACGCCTCTGGGAGTTCCTGGGGAACCCACATTCCAGGATGTCTGAGCGCTCTTCCGGAGCATTTCAAGCCTTGACCTCTGTTTGACCTCCTCAAAGCCGCTGACACATCGAGCTCAGAAGATTTAGTTACAGTTGATATTTTACCTGTTTCCTTTCAAAATGTTCTGAATGAAATCCCCATAAGTCAAAAATAATTTAAGAACGTTAAACAAAACAAAACGTATTCTTCCCACAGTTCGCTAATTGGATTTCTGAACTTTGACTAAGCCATTTTACAGTGTTTGTACAGGTGGTTCAAATCATTGAAAATACTTGAGTTTCAATTAGATTTGGAAAGTTCTTGATTTTCTAACAGCACGATTTTATAAAAAGGTTCAATCTAAATTTGGAAACTATTTACAGTTTGAGTCAGATATTTTCATAAAGACAGACATTATTAATAATGATAAATTATATCATAAAATAGCAAAGCTAAACTATGTTTTTTAGTTAATTTGTTTTGTTTTTATCTCCAAACTGAGATGCTGGAAAAGTCTAGAAAATGCTTGAATTTTACAACGGGAAAGTATACACATCCTTTCTTTAGCATGATGCTGCCACCACCATGTGTTCAGGGTACAGTAATAGCTTTCCTCCACACACGGCGCTTCAAAATGCTTAATTTGGTTTAATCTGACCAGAACATTCGTTAAACTTAGTTTTTGTCAATCTTCCACTAAATCTCCTTCCAACACCTGAGCTGTGGCTCTCTGCAGCTCCTCCAAAGTTACTCTGAGCCTCTTGGTTGATGCAGAATATCAGTACAGGTGAGACAGTCTCTGCAGTTGGACTGGTTAGTCTTAAAAGACTCCATCCTTTATTTTTAATTTTTTAATAAATCTACTGGAAGCGTAGCAGTGCTTTGTTTCTCATACTTTCTCAAAAGGAGAGGCGAAACATGGACCATTTCTCTGCATAAGTAGATATATTAGTCAGCAACTAGGAAGTGTTATTCAGCAGCACAGATGAGTTTTAATGAGCAGAGTTTAATTTCTAAAGATTCAGCTCAGTAAGAGCGAAGCTGTTTGATCTGAAATGACGCGGCGAGGATGTCCAGATGACTTTGAGATGCTTCTGATCCACGGAGAGATTGACGCTTCGAGAGAAGATTAGACCGAGACAATTTCTAGCTTCCATATGTGGAAGAGCTCTGCCCTTTTCATCCTCTGCACACGACTGACTGCTGTTCTTTCTCCTCGTCTCTTTTTTATCTTTTCCCATTTCCTAATCCTCTCCTTGCTTCATTTTCTTCATATTTCCTCCTCTCTTCTTTCCTCTTTTAGACGTCTGGTTTAATACTCTCGTCTTTATCGCTCCTGCAGGTCTGTGTTAAAGTGAGGTTGTTCCTTTTTAGCTCTCTGCAGTCGGAGTGTCTTTGAGGAAATCAGAAAAAATTGGCACATTTTGCACTTCAGCTTACCTTATAAGATATTAGAAAAGATGCAAACAAAATAAAGACTTTATTTCCTAAATTAAATGTAGCACGCCTTTAATGAACGCTAAATCATTTGTAGCTCTTTCTGCTTGGGGATACAACTGACATTTATTCATACTTCATATTTAAATTTGAATTCAGATGAGAAGAAACCTGATTTCTTGCTGTTGTTTCTGTTTCTCTGCAGGGTTACACGGACGAGCCCGTGTCGAAGGTTTTGTGTCACGTTGAGGACGGTTCGGTGGTGCAGCTCGACAGGTGGAACCTGCTGGTGGAGAAAACTGCGGTACAGCCAGAAGAAGGCACTCAGAAGGTCAGGGGTCAAGGGTCAAGCCAGAAAATGGCCTGGATTTATTCCTAAACATGTTTTTCAGAACAAGGAATCTGTAAAGATGTTTTTTTTTTCTTCTAAATGTTTTTATTTTTGCATATTTTATGTGTAAATACTGATTATGTGTTGCACCGGAACCTCTCTGGCCAATTATTTTCTTACTTTATCACAAATTTCCAATTATAAAAGTTTGCATATTGATATTTAAATATGTTTTTTGTTCCTTTTAAGCTCCCTCTGAATGTTTTCAACAACTACTTCAGCCTCGGCTTCGACGCTCACGTCACGCTGGAGTTCCACGAGTCCAGAGGTCTGTTTCACAAATTCCCTTCGCAAAAGTATTCACACCCCTTCAGATTTTAATTTTCAATGTACTTTTGTCAAATTGATGTGCTAAAACATTTAAAACCCCACTTACACTTCGTGATAACGCACTTCTTCATGTTTAAATCCCACTGTAGTTTGTTTCCAAAACATCACAAAGTGTTAATATTCAAGGGATGTGAATAATTGATCAAGGTTCTGTTGTATTGTTATGTTAAATCCCTGAACTCTCCATGTTTTCTGCACACGTTGATTGAATTTTCCTCCGTTTTTCGTCCAGAGGCCAACCCAGAGAAATTCAACAGTCGCTTCCGCAACAAGATGTTCTACGCCGGCGTAAGTGTCCTCCATGACAAACTGTTAACCAACTTTGACTGGACAGTTTACATTTGCCTCCAGTTTGCTGTAATTCTGCTTTAATGACCGTCACACGCCCTGCCAGAATGAGGAACAGTAAATCAAGAGAGATTTCTCGCAAAAGCAGCTAAACATTGGCCTTTAAGGGAAAGGAGTTTCCAAGTTATTTATCAATAATGAGCAGCCTGACTTGTGCAATATTCATCCAGAACGCTCACAAAACAAATGTCACGCTCTCAATAATTCATCTGACCTTCATTCTGAGGAAAAACTAAACAAACCACACAGAATACCGCTTTGTTTCCGGTGATGAATTGAGCTCAAATCAACTTGAAAGTGATGAACAGATGTAACAAAAATCATCCAGCTGACTTTTTTCTGCAAGACATGAGCTGAAAGTCAGAAAGGATGGGCGGCAGTTGAAGCGGAAACGTACAGAGGAGTTATCTCTTTTTAATGAGGGAAATGTAATGAACTGTAATTCTGTTTGATTGGCTTCTTCTGTCTGTTTATCTGCCTCTGTGTGTGTGTGTGTGTGTGTGTGTGTGTGTGTTCAGGCTGCGTTCTCAGATTTCCTCCAGAGAAGCTCCAGGGACTTGTCGAAGCACGTCAGAGTGGTGGTGAGTGTTAACACGCTCTTCCTCTCTTGGCTCGTATCGTCTTCCGTGTCGACATGTCTGAGTTGGGTGATTAAACGCGCCGTCCTTCAACTTCTCTTTGGGGGTTGACCCTGAGGAGGAATCCCACTGGGGTTCCTCACTCACGTTCAGTCCATGTTAAAACAAATAAATAGCTGTCCACGGCCTAGAAAGCAGGTTTAAATAGGATCTATTATTCAAAACGTACGTTATTTTTGTACTTCCATTTGGGTTTCTGGTGCTTCTAAAAACAGTCCAAGCTCTTAAAATGCACACACAGACGAAGTTAGCAGCCCCAACGGAGTGACACCTGTTACCTAGCAACACCAGTGGAGCTCCAGCACGTTTGGTCAGCTGGTTTTACTGCGCTGTACAAAGGCTGCTGGAAAAGACAAATGTTTTCTTGTTGACTTGGCATGGAGAAAGCACTTGCTGCATTCTTGTTGGCCGCGCAGAAGGCTGTACTTCTGCTTTTCAAAGCTGTATGGTTGTATAATTGGGCATCTGTGTGCAGCCGTTTTCACGTGCAAGTGTAAACGTTGAATTGGGGGCGTGGCCAGTAGCTGCTTATTTGGATTTAAAGTGACAAGATGCCCTAAAACAGCTCGAAATCTGATTATCTAAGAATAATTTTGTTTAAAAAATTTGACAAATGTTCCATAGACCTGTCCAACCTGTAAAATTGTTGTTTGGTCCAGTGACACCAATGAGGACAATACATTAGCTTTGACAGATCAAATACTTTTCCTTATTTTATTTCATCCACAGGGTAGTTTTGTCTTATTTCATTTGTACTAAGATATTTTCACTAGAAACCAGAATAAAACTCTGGTAAGGTTTTATGTTTTTGCAGAGTGTTTACTCTTGACACTGAATCCAAGCGTAGCAGTCGATGTTAATGGCGTCTTTATTATTCCCAATGGGAGCCATTACTGCTTTTTTTTTTACAGATGCTCCACATTAACTCCTGCTTGGAGTAAAATAACACTTCAAATAAATCATTTAAACCAATTAATTAATGTCACATTTATGCCCACGAGGCGTTTATGTAATCTTCTGACTTCAGCTGTGTTTAACATCGGCATAAAACCGTCCCCGTCCCCTCACAACTAAAACATTAAATCTCTGCTACTTTAACAGTCATAACAGTTCGATTATCTCCTATTATGAGTTGAATTAAAAATATTTTACAGCACCAATAACTGGTGTTTAGGAGCCCCTGCTGTGTGATCTGACAGTAGAAACCAGGAAGTGAGTTTACTGTTTGAGCGGCCTGTCAAAGTAAAAGGCCGGTCTAGAACAAACTCTGGTTCTGGTGTGCAGGCGTGACTCTGGCTCTCTGCTTTCTGCAGTGCGACGGAACGGATCTAACGCCCAAAATCCAGGAGCTCAAGTTTCAGTGCATCGTGTTTTTAAACATTCCCAGGTGGGTCGGTCACAAACGCATCCAGACAGATCGAAGGTTTTACTTCTTCAAGTTGATCATTTATATTTTCTGCATTGGAATCTTGCTAAACTCTTCAACAATTGCATAAAAGGCAATCTAACCTCATATAAATGATAAAATATTTAGAAAAATAGCAACTTTTTAAATAAAAACACTAAATTAAATATTATTCTTTATATTTTATGTTGGAAAAATGTATAAAACATAGTTAAATCCCAACTTTTATTGTTAAATCACACAAAATTACATATAATGAATTTAGAAATACCACATTAAAACATTAAAAATGATAATAATAAAAAATCCAATTTATATCGGTTAGGAAGTGCTGCAATACAGCATTATAATATAATTAAAAGTTCTAATTAAATATTTTAAAATATAATTATTCATTTTGGCATGCTTTCACATTAATTTTATTATGTGAAAGCATGATAATATTGATAATAAATACATGTTTTTATTATCAAGTACACATTTTTATTAATGTCTATATGCTCTATTAATTGTTTTTATATATTTCAAATTTTTAATGAGTTTTGGATTTATTTATTAAATCACTGATACAGAAATATTTATTTAATGAGCACAGAATCGTTAAATATTTCATACAATATTTAAACTTTTTTTTTTCAAGAAAGACATCATTATTATTATATTATACATTTCTGATTAATATGTTTATTGATATTTTTGCATACAGTGATTACATATACCAGTGCAAAACACCTCAAAAAAAGTAAAATAATAATAAAAAAAATAAATGTGCACTAAAATAAACACAATAAAATAAAAACGGGGGTTACATTGATGCAAAAAAAATCCATATTTGATTACATATTTAATATTGATTTAAATATTTAAAAGTTTAGAGAATTTTAGGAAACATTTATTAATTTCTGCTACTAATTTGTTATGATATTTTTATTTCTTGATGCAAAAGGTCACATGTGACGTTTCAAACGGCTCTCTAAATTAGTCCTTTCCACTCGATTGCTGAGGCCTCTTAGAAACGATGAGACTCTTGAACCGGAGCAGGATCCTTGAAGTGCTCTCTGTTAATTGGGTTCAGAGAAGCTGCTCTTCTTCTGTCCTCAGAGGAAGAGCAGCTTCTTCCTCTCTGGGAGCATGAAGACGGCTGTCACAGCTGCTGGTGTTTGACGTGTGACATGCAGGTACTGTGCTGGCACCATGCCGTGGGGAAACACCGGAGACCACCGAGACTTTGAGCCGCAGCGCCACGACGACGGCTGCATCGAGGTCATCGGCTTCACCATGGCCTCTCTGGTGAGAAAAACCCCTAAAAAACATCAGCCGGCAAAAAAACGTCGACGTTCTACTAAACCGTGCATGTTTGTGTCGTCCACCAGGCGGCGCTACAGGTCGGCGGTCACGGTGAGAGGCTTCACCAGTGCAGAGAGGTCGTTCTCACCACTTACAAGACTGTACCTGTTCAGGTAATGTCACCAACATGGATGTAGTTACATGTGATGACCAGGAGGTGTCGCCATTGTGATGAAAATACAGTTTGTTTAAAGTCTGTCTTATTTAATGTTTAATTACTTCCCAGGGTTTATTAACAGTAAACCTTCTGAAGGATTATTGTTGTTTTTCGACCGTAACAGAGCTGAAAATAAAAGCATTTAGTGAACATGTACCGTTTTATATTAATAACTAACTATGTAATAAATTTAAACCTGTAATGTTTTGAGATGGTCTGGATCAATATATGGCCGTTTAGGTCTGTCAGACTTATTTTCTTTTGGATTTTAAAAGCTTTTTCACTCGTTTTCGTACCTTTTTAGTTTTTTAGGCCACTAAAAAAAACATGACTTAATGTTGTTTGAAACATACGCACAAAAAACATTACTTCTCTATTACTCTCTGTTTCTCCCTCTCTCTCTTTCTTTCTCCCTGTTTGTCTTTAATCTTCACTCCTTTTTCCCTTCCTTTGTCTTTTTCTTTCTCCACTTGTCTCTCTGTTACTCTCTCAATTGTTCTCCTTTTCCTTCACTTTATCTTTCTTTCTCTCCATGTCTCTCCTGCTCTACAAGTTGATGAATTTTAATCTTCTTGAATTTCCACTTTTTGTTTTCTATCCATCCATCCAATAAATTGACATTTTATTTAAACTTTAAACTAGGCCTGCAGAACGTCAATACAATTTCTAAAACTTGTGATGGCGATGCAGTTCTTTTTTTCTATAATTAAATTTGTCATCACAATTTTCTTTTAGCTTTAACATAAATCTGCTACAAGCATCAAAAGCAGTTGGACCCTCCAAAATATATTGATTTAAAATATATTTGTGCAAAGATGAAAATAGTGATTTCATATATTGAGTATCTCTACTTGAGATGGTTTTTATTTTACAGAGAAGTTTTGAAGAAGAATAATGTGGTGTGTGTGTGTGTGTGTGTGTGTGTGTGTGTGTGTGTGTGTGTGTGTGTGTGTGTGTGTGTAGGTGGACGGCGAGCCGTGCCGACTGGCTCCTTCCACTCTGCGCATCTCCCTGCGAAATCAGGCCAACATGGTCCAGAAGAGCAAGAGACGCACGTCGGTGCCGCTGCTGAACGAGTGAGTCAGCTCCTCACTCTCTCTCACTCACACACACACACACACACACACACACACACACACACACACACACACACACACACACAGACGGATAAAGACAGATGAACTGGGCCAGCCGTGTTGCTACAGAGAGACCGGGCCGCAGCTCACACTCACCGAGTCACACAATCTGTTTAGTGAGTTCACTGCTCTCAGCGTCGCTCTGCAGATTTGACCACAGTCAAAGGAGGGACATGAAATAAACGAAGCCATCAGACATGTGGTGGTTTTACACATCAGGAGACATTTTGAGGATTTAACACTCTCTGTCTTCTCCCTGTATTTAGTTTATAAATGTAAACGTGAGTCTATTTCCTGCTTTTCGTAGCGAGCTACAGTAGATGTGTGTATGTGGCAGAAGGGCTGGGCGATAAATTAAGTCTGAGATATTTTTTTTATACCTGATCTGATTTTCAAAAATTTTTTCTTTTATTTCAGTCATCACTTCTGTGAGGGTTAGGGCAGAATAAAGATTCAATTCTACTAGAAAAATGTCTTAAAATTATGAGGAAAAGTTGTTTTAATGGAAAAAAAAGCTCAGATAATTAACATTTTGTTAATTTATTTTTTGTGTCTGGGTTCTCATAAAATTACGACTTTTTTCTGCAAATGTTAAGATTTTATTCTGGTATTATTTCAACTTTATTCCTGTAACATTATGTACAGAAGTACAACGGCACGTTGGGGGCATTGGAGATAAAAAAGATTGAGATTAATTTCAGAAATTTTCTAGAAAAAAGTTGGACATTTCTGAGTTTCAAAAGTAAAAAAATTTCAACTTTAAAGAAAAAAAAATCAGATTTTTTCTAGAAAATCTCAAAATTTCTGAGTTCTTTCTAGGAATTTTTTTACTTTTGATATTCAGACATTTCTTTGTTTTTTTTCTAGAAAATGTCTGAAATTGATCTTAAATTTCTGAGTTTATTGGCGTAAATTAATCTAAAATGGCCCTAATACAGCTCTGTATGGAAGCCTTTTAGGGCCACTAAAAAAAAAAAAATTCAGACTTTTGATCTCAGAAGATTAAAGTCAAAATCCTGGGGGAAAAAAATGAACATTATTTTTATTTTTAAAAATAAATTGTAGTCTCTCCCTTATAATTCATCGTGGAGTTGGCCTGAATTCAAACTACAAATAAATAGAAACGGTAAAACACGCTTCTCGTACAAGATGGCCGACAACCCAGAGAGCGCTTTAGTGGGGGGAAAAAAATCCAGATTTTCCACAAAAAAAAAAAAAAAAAAAAGGGAATTTTTAAAAAAAAAAAACCAGTTATGCCCCCGCCTTTTTGGGGGAAAAAAAAGGGAGGG